ATTCCGTTTGTCTTGTTTGATTATAACTATTTCTTTATTTAGACTAAAATGTTTAATTACTCCAAACCAACGTACACAGGATTGTACAGTCACGTTAACAGATTTAAACGTTTTAAATATAAGATATTTTTTATAAATGTCTTATTTTATAGAGATTATGATATTGATAGTAACTATCGTAATTTTCATAAACAAATAGAAACTGTAAAAAATGTGTTGTTAAAAAAAATGGTTTTTATCGTTCACTACTTTGACATTTTAAAACGTTTTGTAAATTGAGTGTACACTTCTCGTAAAATGAATTAATCATTCATTTATGGGTAAAGACAATTATGAGCTGATAAATAAAATTAAAAACTATCATGAGTCGGACGTAATTCCCTGACTTTGTACAATTTATATAAATCTCATAGGAATATTGTTAATAGAATGACGTTAAACAGATTCATATTAGTTTGAACAAATTCCAAATTAATTACAGTATCTGCAATTCTTATATAATTTTCTTCGATAAAGAAATAATAATTATTGCATTGATATATATATTCATCTAGGTTCATAATTTTGGTGATAAATGTATGTATTAACCATAACAGTGAGGTTTTCATTCCCTAAAGATGGTATAATTCTGGACCTACGTAACTATGTTGTTGGTTTACGGTATTGATGTAATGAGATTGTTCTATTGTTGGGTTTGCGCTATTGATGTAATGAGATTGTTCTATTGTTGGGTTTGCGCTATTGATGTAATGAGATTGTTCTATTGTTGGGTTTGCGCTATTGATGTAATGAGATTGTTTTATTGTTGGGTTTGCGTTATTGATGTAATGAGATTGTTCTATTGTTGGGTTTGCGCTAATGATGTAATGAGATTGTTCTATTGTTGGGTTTGGGGTATTGATGTCATGAAATTGTTCTCAGAGTTCGAATATTTTTATATTAAAACCAAAACATAAATTATAACTCTACTTAACTTGTAGATTCAAACAACTAAAGACGGTTACTGTAGTTGAGATTGAAATATCATAGGTGAACAGAAAGAAAAACTTTACTGTAGTATGCTAGTATATTACTGTGCAAGTTGTTGTACGTTTAATGTAAGTACGTGTAATTATGTTGTGTGACCTTACGCTGTGAACATAAACTTCAACTCCAAATAGATCATACAAAATTTGTAAAATCACTTAAAACTTTTCATATACTATTCAGATGTATTATGTCAGTCTAATATTTTATTTTCCATCAGAACCCAAACAGACAATAATTCGTATTTGGTTATGCAAACTCTAGTAATTATCGTAAACTGACATTTCAAAACGAAATTCCATTTAAGATTTGTATGTCACGATAGATAATACTTTAAGTGTAATAATGGCTGAAGACGGCTTGAATGGGTAATGAAGAAAACTTTAATATAACAGCAAATGTACAACGTTTCGACAAGGTTTTGTCATCATCAGGTACCTTAAGTGTATTGTTTTTACTAACCGATATTTTTATCACTCAAAGGAAATTGTGTGTTTTGATTATCCTGTAGGATAGCCTATAAACTGAAAATCATTGTTTAAAACGTTAAGTTTCACAATTTCGATTCCAAAAGGTGATTTTTTTTTGTTTCTGAGCTTTTTACCTTAGATGCTTAGACTGAATTTTACAAAAAAAAGGTCAATGAATATACTAGCTTCTGCTAATACAATTAAAAAAAATCCTATTTGTCATAATACATTAGTATTAGGCTTATTACAGTTTCAAACGCTACATTATTAATCTAGTCCCTTAGGAATTATCCCAGTAGGCCTGAAAAGTGTGGTTGGAATACTATTATTATACACTATTTTATTTTTGGAAATCCCTAAAGGATTACATTAAGAATGTAGTGTTAAAAATGTAATAGGTCTAATACTAATGTCTTATGACAAATATAATTGTAACCATTCTTTGCCGGCTTGTAAAAGGCGTACACACTATAAAAATTGCTATTCGTTTTGATTGGTATTTTAAGGTACCAAAGCAAGATACCAATACTATACGCGCCATCTAGTGTTAATATAATACATCATGTGATTGAAAATAGCTCTTTTGACTGTTAGAAAATTAAAACCTCATCATGGAGCCTAAAATGTCGACTTTTTCGACAATTCGTGAATAATTATTCCAGATAGGTAATATTTTTGTGTATGCTGTATCATTAAAGTTAAGTACGATTGGCGTTATTTAAATGATTAATCAGTAAAAGTACTAATTTTACTTTAAACCATTAAATTCAGTATTGATTATTGTATGAACATCTCTCTTGTTCTGTTCCAAGTTTAGTTGGCCTCAGTGTAGATTTTCTTGTATATATACACTAAAACTCTCGTATCTGTGTTGGTTTTTCATACACTAAAACGTTCGTTTGTTGCAGGTTTTTCTTATATTGGCCAGATTCCTACATTACACGATAAAAATATCAATATATTAATAGTATTCCACAACTATTAGAGTGTTCTTTCTTTTTAGTTTGTATAATGGAATTGTGGAAACAAATGTTTAGAGGTCCCGATCTGGGTTATTCAGAACTTAAAAGTGTTTTGTGTTAC